ACGCTGTTGCCAACCGACCCGCTAGCGAGGTTGAGCGATTCCGACGCGATCACCAGATTGCTGTCACCGGCCACGATGTCCCCAAGCCTGTCGAGACTTTCGACGAGGCTGGTTTCCCCAGATACGTTATGGACGAGGTCAAGGCCCAAGGCTTTCCCGCTCCTACCGCCATTCAATCCCAGGGTTGGCCCATGGCTCTTTCCGGTCGCGATGTCGTTGGTATTGCCGAGACTGGCTCAGGAAAGACGCTTACCTACTGCCTTCCCGCCATCGTCCACATCAACGCCCAGCCTCTACTTGCGCCTGGCGATGGTCCCATCGTCCTCGTGCTAGCTCCTACCAGAGAGTTGGCCGTTCAGATTCAACAAGAAATCACAAAATTCGGCAAATCATCCCGAATCCGCAACACATGTGTTTACGGAGGTGTTCCCCGTGGCCCCCAGATCCGAGACCTGTCTAAGGGAGTTGAGGTCTGCATCGCCACGCCCGGACGTTTGATCGATATGCTCGAGGGTGGCAAGACTAACCTCCGCCGAGTCACCTACCTAGTTCTCGATGAGGCCGATCGTATGCTTGACATGGGTTTTGAACCTCAGATTCGAAAGATTATCAGCCAAATTCGACCTGACCGTCAGACACTCATGTGGTCTGCCACCTGGCCCAAGGAGGTTCGGGCTCTAGCCTCCGAGTTCCAGACCGACTTTATCCAAGTCAACATTGGCTCCCTAGATCTCTCCGCCAACCATCGTATCACTCAAGTTGTCGAAGTGGTTTCCGAGGGTGAGAAGCGTGACCGCATGATCAAGCAATTAGAGAAGATCATGGACAACAAGGAGAACAAGGTCCTCCTTTTCGTTGGCACGAAGCGTGTTGCCGATGAGATTACCAGATTCCTCCGCCAGGATGGCTGGCCAGCGCTCTGTACGTTTCAACCTTGAAGATATCCATGTCTGACTCTAACGTGTTTACAGCAATCCACGGCGACAAGCAACAGAACGAGCGTGATTGGGTTCTTGATCAATTCAAGACCAACAAGAGTCCCATCATGGTCGCCACCGATGTGGCTTCTCGTGGTATTGGTATGATCAAAACTCCCCCCACCCTATTCCTCCCCCACAACTTCCAGCAGAGTTATATCCGATGTGCTTGACTGTGATGTCTAGGGGCTTTCTTGATTGTGCACATATGCCTGACCTAATCGTGTCTCGTGGTTCTCCATTCAGGATGATCGGGATCTATCTAAGGTATGGCCCAAGGGCCGTGTCGATGTTTCGCCTTGTACCTGACCTGTGGTACATGTTTGCGGAGTTGAGCATTTCTTGATCCCGTCAAGCTGTCTCTAAGATTCCCGAGGACCCGAACCGGACTTTTGGGATCATTTCAAACTGGCAGTGTTGATGCAACAGACAGCCCCATTCTCGAAGGAGAAAGCACGGAACAATATGCTTATGGCACTTTTGTCCACCGCTGGGAATTGCTTCATAGCAACTCGTTTTCTAAAGCTAACCTATTGTGATAAAGATGTGCGCAACATCACTCATGTGATCAACTATGATTATCCGAACAACTCGGAGGACTACATCCACCGTATCGGCCGTACCGGTCGTGCTGGCGCCAAGGGTACCGCCATCACATTCTTTACTACTGACAGTAAGGCTCTTTCTCTCTGCTCAAAAGTTATGGACCCAGCTGACCCAGATTATCAGACTCGAAGCAGGCTCGTGATCTCGTTGCGGTTCTTCAGGAGGCTAAGCAACAAATCGACCCAAGATTAGCTGAAATGGCACGCTACGGCGGAGGAGGTGGCGGCGGCCGATATGGCGGTCGTGGTTACGGTGGTCGCGGTGGTGGTCGCGGCGGTAGGTTAGATCATCCACGCTCTTATTATGGTTGAAAGCTAACCGAATTATTAGGCGGTGGTAGAGGTGGTGATGGTGGTGGTGCTAACGCCATGCCTCTCGGCAGCCGACGATGGTGATCGAACTCTGCTACAGGCACTTGCACGATCCCAACTATTTGATACTATTGCAAGGCTTGTGAGATCGCTTGCGTTATTTTCTCATTACACAAAAAGCACGAACGGCGTTGTCTAGAGGGTTTGGCTGATTAGACATGGTAATATCGGCTCTTTTCAAGTCGCGTATCTCTCCACTGAGGTCTGCGCATGTCATTCTTCCTTTGATTTCAATAGGAGATATGGAGAGCTTCGTCAGGTCATTGAGAAGCACAAACTTACTCCAGCTTCAGACCAGACACAGCATTTGGTGTACCTTGCAGGCGCCCTTTTCAAGGATGAACTGACAGCCTTGCCTGCTCCAGTGCGGGACAGTGGCTGTGGTACTTGCTGACCTGTTTCTAGATTGGAACTGCTTAGTCACATTGACTTAAAGAAAGGTCTCTCATGTTCAAGTAGATTCATTCGTCTGCTTTGCACTCGTTAGGAGGCAATTCGGACTGTCTAGGTAGCATGAACCATTTCATAAGATCAGTATGTAATACCAATGTTAGTGGTAACATTTTTCGTTGTAAACATTCACGTAGCAATCGGCGGTCCACTCGGAAATGTGAAATATGTACGCCAACGTGTTCGCAATGGCATATGCTTCCTCTTTTGCTACCGGATAACTTGCCGAGCCATAGCTATGTGTGGGGTAGGAAGGTAAAATTATATTAAGATGGCATCTCACGGAAGGGCGGCCCAATTCTCTTTACCCGGTTCTCGCAACACACGTTCCGTCCAGCCTCACCCATTCTTAGAGTCATATGGTGACATGATGCCTTTTGGTTGTACAAGATGGCTTACTTATTCCCTTTTGTCTCCTGCGTCCAGGATTTTTGTTTATTCGGTACAGAAAGTTTAGCAGCATAAGGGATCTGTCAAGCTGAAGATTCTGAGTTTAATCGTCTTCGTCGTCGAATAACAGTGAACATGAAGGCCACAGCAGCATTTGCGCTCTTTGTGAGCGTTATCCAGGCGGCTCCTCATTGTATGTATACTCGTCAGGCTTCAAGTGTCACCATGTCTTTACCATTCGTTGTTGTCTTCAATCCAAGATCCACGTCGTTCCATTTACACTCACTCATGTTACTTGGAGGCGCTCATATCACCTACGACGGATGTGATTCTCTACGTCCTTGTGGTCTTTTCTTACTCATTACTACCCTGATACTATTCCCGCTCTCCTTCCCTCCCACTCACCAGCAGAGCGGACTGACTAACAGCTATCTCCTTTTTTCTTTATCTGTCCAGACACCTTTCCCAAGCTCGCCGGAACAGCGGACTGGTCCTCAGTCCGCCAGACGGCCAACTTCCAGAGCAACGGCCCCGTGACGGACGTCAGCAGCGACGCGATCCGATGCTACCAGCAGTCCTCGGGCGGCGCGCCCAGCATCTCCCAGGTGAAGGCGGGAGGACAGATCACGTGGACCGTGGCGCCGAGCATCTACCACCCCGGCGCTCTGTCGGCGTACATGGCCAAGGCGCCGGCGGGCCAGACGGCCGGGACGTGGGATGGCAAGGGCGCGGTCTGGTTCAAGGTCTTTCAGGACGCGCCGAGCGTTAGTGGGGGGCAGTATGTTTGGCCTAGCAATGGTGAGTTTTTATTTATCTATCTTGGGGCCTTTTTGGTTTGAGGGGGAGGAGAGGTGGTTTAGGTGCTGGGATGAATTGTGAAATATTGGGATGAGAGAGGGAGAGGGGGTAAGAGGAAAAAGAGTAAAGATAGTTATTGGACATTGATTGCTTGATCGCTGGCTACATCTGCTGATATAAAACGCTCTACAGGAAAGGCTGAAGTTAGCTTCACCATCCCCCAGTGCCTCGCTAATGGCGACTACTTGTTCCGGATCGAACATGTTGCTCTGCATAGGTCAGTCCCGCGCCGCGCTTTATTTCTATATCTTCTTTCTCTTCGTTTCTTGGGATGACTCGCATCATGTGTTTATCAACTACGACCACCAATCTCAACAGAAAGAATCAACCTCACTCATCGATGCACATGACGAAATAAATTATCCCCTTCTAGTTCTTTCTTGCTTTCCCTCCCCTGTTCCCCTTAGTCCACCTCGCAAGCAAGCTCCCCCTATTTCCAAGCAGAAGGTCCCTCGAGACAGTAGAAGTAGGTGGCTAACACATTAACCCATGCATAAAGCGCGAGCACGGCAAACGGCGCCCAATTCTACATCTCCTGCGCTCAGATCACCGTCTCGGGCGGTTCGGGCTCCAAGACGCCCTCGGGCCTCGTTTCTTTCCCTGGTGCCTACAAGGCCACGGACCCGGGGCTGCTCATCAATATCTATAACAACGGTGGCAAGACCTACCAGCCCGCTGGTCCATCGGTTTTCACTTGCTGAGTGAAACAGGATGGGGGAGGCTGGTCTGTGGGCGAGTTAGAGGGGGCTTGGGAGTGAAAGGGGAGGGCAAAGGGTGAAGCTTGTGAGGGCGTCGAGGAGAAAGAGGGAGGGCGTTGTTGTAGCATGCATACGGTGACAGGTGACGGAGGGGCGTGTGTTGCAACATATTAGATCTTGTCCTGTTTGAATTTTTGAGATTGTTTCATGTGATGCAGCGGTAGTTTTTGAGGAGCACTTCTGACTAAATTATCATTTTGCCATAGCGAACTTTGGGTTTTCTTATCCGTGTGCTATATCTTATTGTACCTAGCTCGGTTGAGTACATTGGGGTTCTATTGTGCTGTGTCATGATACATACGGACTTGCGCCACTTAAAGTTGTCTTACTTAATGGCGAAAGATTTTATCTAAGGTGCCACAAGATATCAGGTTCGTTCCGTCCCCTCAGGGTAGATAGATATTAATCAGACTCTGTCTAGGGGCTGACAAGAGACAATGGCGGCGTGGCAGAGAAACATTACCACATTTCTTACGCATCACACTTTAGATGATAGTAAAAAAAGTTCGCCAGTCTCTTCGAAAGCAAAACCTCACTCATTAAGGGAAATCAAGAAGAAGGAATACCCAAAAGGGGCAAAAGATAAGGTGCTCTCGATCGGGGAATCGAACCCCGGCCACCTGCGACTTGTTGTTCTAATGACAAGCAGGTATCCTAACCACTAGACCAATCAAGATTTGATTCGATGCTGTGAGGAATAAGTTTGCAAACAGATGTTTATCGTCGAAATCCCAAGGAGAAAAAATGGAGAGTTGACGCAGACAAATCGTACGGTGGCACCTCACGGATTCTTCAGTCGTACGTCAGCCGCACTCAAACGCCAAGGCCCATTTTGGAACGGGTGACTGTTATACTCTTATTAGGTACTTTATGGAATACATACGTCCCCTGCTAAGCCTCTTTTTATATCAACAGACCTATTGTGCCCATCTTCCTGCCAGAGTCCTAAGTTTCGATATATTCCAACTTATTTAAAAGGATTCTACCAGTACCTGCAGCGGGCCTTACAAATATTCCCTTACTTCATAATCGCAGCACCCGCCAGATAGCTACAGAGTTGAAACGATAGTCCACTCACGCTGGTTCCAGATCCACCAGTCTACAATAAGGCGGTATTGTACTTTTCCGGCAAGATGTTTACAAACTACTGATCTAGCGATTGGATGCTGCAGGCCATGCTATTTCTAAAGTAGTGGTATTCGAAATATAAAAGTTGCTTGCTGTCTTGCTTCTACTCAACGAAAGAATATAGATTGATCACGTTAGTATAAACCAAATATTGTTTTGCAGTGAACTGAATGTTATTTTCCTGCATGTGTTACTATATTAGATTAGAATCTAGAATATTGTGAGGATTCAACTTGCTACCTGTTTCGAAACGCGTCCGAGGCAATCCCTATAGGGGTAGGTCACATAGAGAGGCCAAGGTGGTGACTAATAGAGGACTAGGTGGTAGGTATTAATAAATGCTGTTGTTGTGCTAGTGATATACAAATCGCTTATAACAGGCTGAATCTGAGGTACAAGTTGATTATAAGAGATTTATAAAAAGGCATGCTAGATCTGCTGTTGCTTATGTATTAGATTTGCTGTCGGCATTTAGTACTAATTAAAGTCAGCTGTAGTACTATGTAAGCTACTTCGTACTTAAAATTATATAGTAACGTACTTATCTGCTACTATATAACCTTAATTTAAAATAATTCTTTAAACTATTATAATAAAAGTTATATTATTACTATATAAGCTACTTTATACTAAAATTTATATAGTAGCGTACTTATTTAGCAGCGTATAACTTTCTAGATTAAAATAATAATTTTTTAAACTATAATACTGAAAGTTATAAATTTAAAAAAATACTAAGTTTAATAATTTCTTACGTTTAAAAAGTTTTGTAATAAATATATTTATACTTAAATTATATATAAAACGTGTTAATTATAAAAAAATTATTTAATTAATTAATTAAGCTGTTTTTAATAAACTTTCTTTTAATATTATTATATTAAAAAATTAAAACTGTTTAGTACTTATTAAAGCTAATTAATAATAATTATACTTTATTAAAACTATTATAGCTTTTTTATAGTTTTTTTAAAGCTTTATAATTATTATTAAAACTATTATTTATAATTATTAAGCTAATATTTAATTTATTTTTTTTATCGCTATTTATAACGATTTTAAATTATATAAAGTTGTTTTTAGTAGTTTAAAACTTTTTAAAATCGTTTATATTATTTTTAAACTTTATAATAGTTTAATTTTTGTTTTTAAAAACAAAAAAATTATTAAAGTTAAAATTAAAATTAAAGTTAAAACTATTTAAATAATAATCTATAGTTTATTAAGCTAATTTAATATAAGCTTTTTTTTTAACGCTTTTTAAGCTTTTTTTTAAGCTTTTTTTTATGTTTTAACTATACTTATAATTAATATTTATATATTTATACAAGCTTTTTATATTAAAAGTATATTTTTAATAAGTTTTTATTTTAACTGCACTTTTTTTAAAAAACTTATAATAACTATAGTTTATATTAAATAATTATAAAGTTTTTTAGCTACAATTAAACTGCTTATTAAACTTTAAAAATAACGTAATTATTGTAAAAAAAAGCTTATTAAAAAGCTTTAAAATTTAAAAGTTTTTTTAACGTAGTTTAAATAGTTCGTTTATTATATTATATATAAAGTACTAAAAAAAGTGAACTTTTATATATATAATACTTTTAATAGACTTATTTTTATAAAGCTCGATTTTTTTTAAAATTTTATAAAAACAGAAAAAACCGTATTACTGTTTTATACTATATATATATAACCGTAACAATAAAAGTATAAAATAATTAAGCTGCAGAAAATAACGTTAAGCTTTTAAATATTTAATTTTTAATAGTTTAAAAGCTTTTTTATTATAAGTTATAAAAATATTTTCTGCTTAAATAAAACTAACTATTTTTTAATATATTTTAAATTTTTTTTATTAAAAATAGTTAATAATATTTTTATATTATATATTAACTATATAATTAAAGCTTTTATATAAAACTAATAAATCGATTTTACTTAATAAATAAAAACGTTTTTTAATAGTATAATTTATCGATTTTATAAATAATATAGTTTAAATATTATAATTATAATATTATAAAATATAGTAGTTAGCTTATTTAATACGATTAAATAAATAAGTTTTTTAAAAATATATAATATAAAACTTTTAGTTTTTACTGAACTTTTTTTATATACGTTATTAAATATTATTAAATTCTGTTTTTATATATAAATAAACTATATAACGCGATCCACCATCGAGCTGTCCAAACCATCGAGCTGTCCGATTTTCCGACCGCGTCACCTTTATTTTTAAAAATATCAATCACAACGTATTAAAATTAATTAAAACTAATCGGAATCCTCTTCATTAGACGTTTCTACAACTACTGTACATGTTCGTACATTATGACCAGTGTTGCCGCATATACCACACCGGCGCGCGCGAGCTGCAGCCCTTGCAGGACGACTACTACTTTCACCATTTTCCTGTAAAACCAAACCACCACTTTCTTTAGACACTTGCAGAGTTGTTCCTTCTTCAAGAGTAAGTACTCCTCCAGGTTGTAGCCGCTTGTTTTTTGTTTGCCGGCGTTTACTTAATATGTGGTTGGTCTCGCGAAGCTTGGAGACCTCACCACGTAATAAAGCAACTTCATGCATCATAGCATAAGTAGCTTTTGATAATGAGCTGACAGCATTAACAATTGGTGTTGGAGAGCTTCCTTGATGGTTAGAGATTCGGGTTTTTAAAAAAACGGACTGAGAAACGGCTTCGTTAATGTTACTGGGTGTTATAGACACCCAGGGAGTAGCAGGCAGTCCGGGAGGCGGCGACGGAGTTTGGAAGACTGGCGTAATATCAAGCTGCGAAATAACAACTTGCGGGTCGAAAGGAACAAGGCCAGCGGCCCTGAAACCAGCTCGAACGTTTTCAGGCGTTATTGCTTTCGTATACGCCTCGAAAAACGCGGGCAAGAAGTCTTCTTTTGAGATATGTGTGATATGGCGCCGCATTAGATCTTCGATTATGCGACCGTAAATCTGTTTTAACGCGCTAAAACAGGCAACATCAAGAGGTTGGAGCTTATGAGAGGAATGGGCAGGCATACAGAGTGTAATAATGTTGTTCTGCTTGCAATAATTCTCGAAAGCTTCGGAATGGTGGCTTTCGTGACCATCAAGGATAAGAAGACGTTTTGAGCCCGTTGCTCGCGGCTTGGTGTATTCATCAAAGTGCTTAATCCATTCCAGACCAAGCTTATTGTTAATCCAACCATTTTCTGAGACTGCAATACGCCAATTACGTGGTAGAGAGCTGTTGCGATACCACGACGCAAGGTGGGTTTTCCCCTCTAAAATGATAAAAGGCGGTACTGCCCAACCTTGAGAATTGACCGCACAAACGGCTGTAGACCAATTCCGATTGCCTTGCTGGGCTTGCCTAGGCCTTGTACGCCTTTCAGAACTTGTTACAACCATACCGGTTGTAATTATGCCCATCATAAACCCCGTTTCGTCGAAGTTGAAGATATCCTCTTCCGCAATACCCTCACGCGCGATTGTAGCTTCCACGCGTTGAAAATACGCGTTATATATAACAGGGTCTTCGCATAAAACCCTACTATAGTCCATCCGACGGTTTAAACGCGTCCGGAGCTCTGGTGTACGCGTTATAAAACGCGACGTCCAGTTCTTCCCAACAGCCTCAGCCCCGCGTTCGTGTAGCAGTCGATTAGCCATATCTTCAACGTAACCGAGCCGAGGGGGAAACGATCGCGCGTCGAGGTCGATTATGAAGTTTACAATTGATCTTTCTTCAGAAACAGTAAGTTTTATTCGATTAGGTAGTTTGTCGGCTCGTGCTGGTATTCCTTTAAATCTGGTAATAAGGGTAGCTTTAGGGACAGTATAGAGTTTAGAAAGTTTACCATAAGAAATATGAGGGTCGCGTCGTTTAGCTTGGATAGCTAGCGAGATTCTGGCTTCTTTAGAAACAGAAGACATGTTGTGGTGGTAGAAATATGTATAAGGAAAGTTAAAAGGTTGACGCGGTCGGAAAATCGGACAGCTCGATGGTTTGGACAGCTCGATGGTGGATCGCGTTAAGCTTAATAAAATAAAAAATTAATATAAATATAAAATATAAAATTTAATATTGTTTTAAGTTTTAATATAATTAAATTATTAATTATAAAACTATTTAAAATATAGATAATAAAGTTTAAAAGTTTATTAATTTTACTTTTATTTTTAAAATTAAATATTAGCTTTTTTTATTTTTATTTAGTTTTTAAAATAACGTTTTTATTAATATAAAAAATATAGATTTATTACTAAATAGTTAAAAACATTTTTATAAAAGCTGCTTTAAGCTAGCTTTAAAAATTAGTAATAAAAACTGTAAATAATAGCTAGCTATAACTTTTTATTAGTTTTATAAGTATATTAATAAGCTAAAAAAAGTTATTTTTATTTTTTATAGCTAATAAAATAAAAACTGAAAATATTATAAACCTTATAAATAACATGCTAATAATAATAATTAAAAGTATTTTAAAACGATTAATACAGTATATACAGTTAATATTAAAAACTTATAACTATTATTTTTAT